CCCCAAAACCCCAAAACCCCAAAACCCCAAAACCCCGAAAATAAATTATTATATTGATAAAAATAATCATAAATAAAATGATTGCTTTGAAAAATTGTAAGAAGAAATTAAGGAAACAACAAGGCCTTTTGGATGAGATCGAACCCACACGAGGTGATAGTAAGAAGCAGAGTAGTGATAGAATGCCAGGGGCTGTCATTGATAAAGGTAAGCACAGAATCTGAGGGATTAAATTTTTTATTGGAGATTTTAGGTATCCTTGGAGCTCTTCAAACCAAAATGAATAATTCAAAAACTCTGGACAAGCTGAAAAACAAAGAATTCGAATTCGATAAATTAAAGTAGGTATTGGATGTGAGATTTTAGACTTCCATATCAAGCACTGCGACTATCTGATAAAATGGGTAAGTTGAGGTTTATATTTTAGAAAAGACCAAAAATTATTTAAAATATTCGAAGAGGAAGCTATCAAGGCAGGACTAGAAGTTAAGCCGCCTGAATCAAGAAACTTAAGGGCTCAAGGCTACAACACTTCGATAGGGTTCTATGACAAAAAGAAACAGTGCATGATAGAGAAAAGGCTGAGTCCCAGGGTAAATGTTGGTGGTCGCAAGATCTTCCAGATGAATAACCTTAAGCCATCTAAGAGAAGTTCTTCGCAGTATCACAGAATAAACAGTATTCTTTTCACTTGATTCATTGTAGAACAAGAGCCTGCTGAGCAATATTGTCGCTCTTTGCTTCCTCAAACTACTCGGAAGACAGACCATTATGAAACGAAAAGAGAATCCCAATTGAATACAGCAAGGCATTGCAAGGATCCAGGAACCATTGACACTGTTTCTGAAAGGACAGGTACACTAATTCTCAACATTTATAGAGAAAACCAGAAGTATCAAAAGAAAGAACAGTAAATATTCAAGAGGAGACCATGATGATAATCGAAAGGGGCATCACAGATCTCAGTTCACCGACAGCAAGCATGATGAAAACACAAAGAAGAACCACCCTCAAAAACTTCCATCCCTTCCTAAGCATCCAAAAGAGTTGACTGTAAGAATTATTTTAAACCTGTAGAATTTTGAATTGGATCAAAATTTCTTCAAACTAGTATGTAGCGGAGATGGTCCAGAGATTATTCATATGAAACATTGAATTATAAACAGGGCCAATTTTAAGCTTTTCCTTAGCAAGAAATACCCACCAAAGATTGCCGATAGAATAGTAAGACTTATAAGTTAATAAAAATAGACATTCTCTTTCTTCCAATCTATTGGCAACCCTTTAGTGTTGAATTATGATAAGTATTCAGCAGTACTTGATGATTTCTTGAAATCACCACCTGAACACTTGCTGATATTCGCCTTCAGCTGTTATGATCTCAGTGCTACCAACAGCGTATGAGAGCATGATATTTTCCAGATCCTCCAAATCTTTAAAGAAGAAATAAATGTAGACAATCAGATCCTTGAGGCATTGCAATTGGATGATTTCCCTACTGATTTGGTATATTTATCTTCTAAACATTATAGGATTTACTAGTCAAGGACGAAAAATCTTATTTATTCGAGCAGATCTTCATTCCTGATGTTCTGAAAATGTCAGAATGTCTCACTTCTAAAAACAACGACAAGCTTAGCTTAAATCGCTTGAATTCAAAATTCTCTACCATGAGCTCTAAATTCAGCAGGATACCTCCAGGTAAGATTCTTTATGGTTTTTTGTGAGTAAATTCATACTCTTTGTCAATAATTTCTCGATTTTAGCTAAGCTTTCGCAAAAATAAAAAATTTTGACAATTAAAATAAGAGATTTTGATGTTTATACATTCTTTTTTGACTTTTCTAATACCTTTTAGATCACGAAGTAATGTTTGAAAAATCTATAAAAAGAGCTGAGAAAATTGAAGAGCATTTCAACAAGAACACACTTGGTTCTGTGTCCAACATATTTGAGCACAAGAACATTTACTATAATGTAATTTTACTATTTCTAAATTGTTAATTTCCTTATTTTTCCTTAAAACTCAAAATTTTGAACCAAACTCATTTTAAACGTCAATTTTCTACAATGTTCATCAAATTATGTTTAATTTTCTTTCTTTAATCTCTTAATCCTATTCTTAGTCTTCACAATTCGTCATCTCCTTTTAGACCAGACTAAACCACCCAGAATGCAATTCACTCTCAAGCGAAGACTTCCTGTCAATAAAATTTGAGTGCAAAATCCCCCATTTGCTGAACGACTTCATCCTCTACATCACAGGGGAGAAGATCAATCTGCACAAAATCTATAACGCTCAAGCTCGTAAAAACAAATACCTTTCTAAAATAGGCCAAACCAGCCTTCCTTTCCAATACTCTAAAGAAGACCTCAACTCTGTTGAGCACTGGAAGCTAGTCCATAAGGCAGATAGGAGCAAGGAAGATGGGTCCAGTGTGGCTAGACTCGAGGAAGATAAGGAAGAGAGGAAGAATAAGAGGAGTCATATATTACCAATCGGCCATCAGTTGTTGCCACTAAGAGAGTTTTATCAGTACATTGACTCAAACCATTTGAAGAATTTGGAAAAATCCTTTATTAAGCTGGCCAAGAAGGATTCGGATATTTATATTACGCAAGAGAGCTTGAGTAGTGGGTTTAAAGAGGTTTTTGGATATGAAAACCCGTCGTTGGCCAAAAGGTAAATGAAGATTCGTTCTGTATTGATTAAGTTTATAGATTTTATATGTATCTTGCGGAATACCATACAAAAGCAAGGATTACTTTCGAGCAATATCTGAGAAGATTCTTTAAATTACTATACTCCTCAGTTGTTGAAAAGAACCAAATATCATTCAGATTCTACGATTATGATGGTGATGGCATAATCAGTGCCTTAGATGTCTACGATTTGTATCAATATTATGAAAAAGGAAGCAAGCTATATGAGGAGGCAACTCTCCTGGTTAACGATATTGCACAAAACTCTCAGTAAGTGTATATATAACTTGTAGACAAAACAGGCGTGAAGATAGGTCTTTCAATTATAACTACTTTTTGTATATTGTCAAATCAAGTTATATCACTAAGGAATGTGGTAAGGTCAGTTTGAAACTTTATAGTCAACAAATGTGCCAATGGCATAACTAATTTGTCTTATCATGAAGCTCGTTGCACAGCAAAATGGAACTCTATTCTTCACTATGGAAACTTAGAGAAGAAGCCTACTAAATCTTTTAAATCAGATAAAAATTATCCATCAGTGATGAGGCCTTTGTTTTCTCATATCTCTTTACTCATGAGAAGAACTGAGAAGAAAAAGAAAGAGGAGAAGGAGCGGGAAGAGCTTCTCAAACTTGGCAAAATGGATAGCTACAAGAATCACTAAAACCTCATAATTCATGTAATTAGTCAATATTTGGAACAAAAAGTTATTTAATTGTTTTCTTATTCTTCACATTTTTCTTCAAGTTGTTATCCTTGTAAATCGCCGAACTAGACAGCTTTATCTGATGTCTAAGTTAATCATCAAAACTGAAATAGTTTTTGAGCATTTGTATTCATCCTAATGATTTTATTTAAAACTGTTTCTGCTTTTCTTTAATAACACCCTCATATTTACCGAGGGCCTCATTTCCTTATTTGGCAAATTCTTTTGATATCTATAAGATATTATCCCTACTTATTCTTTAAGAATAACCTAAGATTTTTTAGTAAAATTTTAGCTCTCAAGCTTTTATAATCCGGTTGCTCTCATTCAATGTTCAAGGATGCTTAATTCCTTCTTAGGTATCATCAATATTTTTGTGGAGGTCCTTCTCACCCTAGGTTAAATTTTATTCCTGCCTGAGTTGAAACTGGATTATTTTAAGTGGCGAACTTTACTTTGTTATCTCAAAGAAATCTCTATCTTTTAAATAATTTCTTAAAATCATTATTTATCATTAACATTCTAGATGCACAGTACTGGCTGAATTTAGCTCTGGGTTGTCCTTATATTTAATTTCTTCTTATAAATAAATTCAAATGTAAGGATAAACATCTTTAGAGGGAAAATAGTATATAAAATAGAATTTCAATACAGAAAACAATATAAGGGGTTTTGGGGTTTTGGGGTTTTGGGGTTTTGGGG